TTGAGAACCCTTATTGTTCTCCTTTTATAATCATCGTGATGATTATTATTATTTTGATCTTTGGAACGCCCACGTTCATTATTCAACCACTTGTCTTCATTTAAACTTATTATGCGTCGTTACCACATTCACTTCAAGAATGGAGCAAATCAAGTGGGGCAATATTCATGCCTTTTCATGAAAAATATATTATTTTTCTTTAGTCACCATTATATCATCAATATGGTATAGTGGGACTCAAACCCAATATCTTACCAATATAAAGGCATGTTAGGCCATAATGAATTGAGATTCAAACCCAACTCTTATCATCATGGAGTATCAGGACTTGATCCTGATGTCTTACCCTCATGGTGCATTGCAACTTGAACTCATTGAAATTGATATCATTAATAGCAAAGGACAAAAATAATTTCAAATACGAAGAAAATGCTTACCTCTTGAGTTAAACTCTTCATAATGTCATTTGGATATAATTCTCAACAATAGACTTTCGTTTACTCAAATAAGCTAAGTAATTAGTGTCAAACAGATATATGAAAATATAAAATAATATTGAAAATTCACATGTGGTCTTTGCTGCAATAAGCTTACTTCAAGATGAAAGTGATATGACCAAAACATTAAAAAAAAAAAAAGGATGTATCAAATAGAATAATATAGTACTACTAGTTACCATGCACTTTTGTGAAAACTAAGTATTATGCTCTCTAGATAAACAAAGAGATATAGCAGAACCTTTAGGTTAATCAGGGAATCAAAAAAAAAAATCAGGGGACAAATCTCTGTCTACTATCTACTACTATATGCTTTCCATATAGAAATAATTCTAAGAACTATCATCAATGAAAAGCTTGTTGTAGTACATACTTCTAGTACTAATATTTTATCTTATTAAAATAAAATAGTTACGAGTATCATTATTATTATATTATATTTGACAGTAAACTAATCTATAATCATTATACTAGGCATACTAAAATCGTATTATAAGGTAAAACCATAAGCATACATAATAAATTATAATTTTAATTTTGTAGATTATTTAGTATACCGCATGTCACCTATTATTTAGTTCATGAAAATTTAAAAAGGTGACATCCCTAGCAGCCACATAAATATTAATTTTCTAATAATCGAACCATTGCTTATTCCAAATATTGGTATAAACTTATATGGTTTAAAGCCAGGACTTGTTGTTGTAGCAGAAAGACGTGCCTGTAACACAGAAGTGGAATTCAACCTTAAGGTTAGAGACTTCGTGCTGATAACGTGTTATAAAATATAGATCAAAGTAATAATATAGAATAAGAAAAAAATAAGCTAAGAGATATAGAGAGAAAGAGATGAGAGATTCTTATTTCTTCTTCAATTGTGTGTATTTTTCTATCCATTACAAGGCCTTTATATAGGCATGAAAAGTGAAGAAAAATATGTCATTGAATATGTCATTAAGCATTTGAGAAGATCATGGTGTAAGAGTAGACATCCACCATAATTTGATTTTTCTTATAACATGACTGAATTTTTAATTTTGATATAAGAAATTTTGCGGTTGTTTATACCACAATCGTGATATTATTCGTATGCCACATTTGCTCTTTTTAAAACTCTTCTCTCAAAGTTTGCTAAGATAATTAAGTGTCACGACCCAAAATCTCACCCGTCGTGATGGTGCCTATCTCGATAGTAGGCAAGCCGACAACATCAATAACCCACGATTTTCATTAAGTTTGAAAACATAATGTTTAATACAATACCAAAAAAAATATAGCAAATTCCGATACAAACACTCTCAAAACCGGGTGTCACTGAGTACATGAACATCTATACATTAGTCTGAAAAACACAGTGTATAATAGTCTAAGACCAAATACAGTAAACAAGGAGATAGGGAAGGAGAGACAAGGTCTGCGAAACACGACAGCTACCTCTGAATCTCCAGAAAATCAATTGTGTGAAATAATCAACACCACTATGTCCGGGAGCACCTGGATCTGCACACGAAGTGCATGGTGTAGTATGCATACAACCAACTCAGTAAGTAACAATAACAAATAAGAAACTGAAAGTAGTGACGAGCTTCTCAGCTAAGTCCAAATACAGTACTTTCCAACATAAAAGGGTAGGCATGCTCTCTAAGTTCAACATTTAAGATTTCACTGAAATTTCATATCAAGTTTGACTGAAACAGAAAATAATGTTTTTTCGAAATTTCAAAAATAGTGATATATGACAGCTGAAATGCAACAAATAATGAAATCAAATGCATCCTCTCAGAGTACCAGTCACTCAGTCCTCCCATTCTCTCCAGCCTCACAGTCACTCATTCCTCACAGTCACTCATCACTCGGCACTCTCACTCTCACTCGCACTCGGCACTCACACTCAGTAGGTACCTACGCTCACTTGGGGTGTGTACAGACTTCGGAGGGCTCCTTCAGCCCAAGTGCTATAACAAGCCAATCATGGCATAAATCAATGAAACATGTTGCGGCGTGCAGCCGGGGCCCATAAATATCCTCACAATTAGGCCCTCGGCCTCACTCAGTCATCAACCTCTCCAGTCTCTCGGGCTCAAGATGTCATGAAAATCAGCCCAAAAATAATAATATGATATATCAATAAATGCAAAAGAGTCTGAGATATGATATGAAATGAATGAATATGACTGAGTGTGAAATTACAATTTGAACATATAATTCAACCACAGAAAATGACCCCAGTGGGTACCGATAATAACAACATATGTCTAAGCATGATTTTTAACACGAGTCTCAGCTCAATTTTCTCTAACACGTAGAGAATGTACGGATTCAACTACACAATTCCATGGAAATTGACCAAGTCAAAATTCCTACGGTGCACGCTCACACGCCCGTCATCTAGCATGTGTGTCACCTCAAAACCAATCGCATAACACATAATCTGGGGTTTCATACCCTTAGGACCAAATTTAGAACTGTTACATCAAACCGTAAAATTCTTTATTCTGCTATGCCCTTGCCACGAGAATTGGTCTATGAAAGCCTCGTATCTAGCCACAATTAATTCGATTTAGTCAATACCAATTATTGTAATTAATTCCATAAGGAATACTAATTTTTCAATAAAAATTCAAAATTAACTCAAAAATCGTACGTGGGACCCATGTCTCGGAACCCGACAAAAGTTATAAAATATGAACGTCCATCCAACCACGAGTCCAACCATATAAATTTCACCAAATTTCGACATCAACTCAACCCTCAAATCTTCAATTAAACTCTTTGAAGATTTCTACCATTTTCAACCCAATCTTTACCCATTTGAACTCAACAATATTTTCATAAACCTTATTGATACGTATAAATAATACTCTTATACCCAAGAATCATACTCTTAATCACCCATCTTTACCCAAACTCGAAATTGAAGACTAGGGGTTAGAACCTACCTCTTGGGTGAAGATCTTGTGATATTTCCTTGTTGGATTTCAAAGCTTGAACAAGATCTTGATGAACAACGCACTTGAGCTTCTTCCTCTCTCTAGAACACTCTCCCTTCTCTCTAAAAATGTCAGATTTTTGCTCCAAAATGAGCTTAACTGGCCGCATAATTGAAGCTCCAAAATGAGGGTCGCATGGATAGGTCTGCGGTGATTATGCGGCCCACATACCTGTCCTGCGGTCGCATAATGCACCACAGATTTTCTCAAATCTTGCCTCACATCTGCTTCACTTTGCGGCCATTATGCGGTCCGCAGAGTGATTCTGCGACCGCATAGTGGGCCGCAAAAATGTCCTTTTCTGCCGAAAATTTTTCTTTACTCCTCAGTGCATTGTTCAACCTAAAACGTTCGAGCCGCGTCTCACAAGCTTGCCGCGAGAAATTTATATAACCTTTGTACTAATTGATCTACCTCGGCACCACAAAACCTTAAATTCCTTAGCAAAAATTCTCCGGGGTCGTTATACATAAGTCAACATCCGGTCAATCTTTTCAACTTAAGTTCTAAACCTTAGAACTAAGTGTTCCAAATCATTCCAAAACCTTACCGGACCCGAACCAATTGCCCCCGGCAAGTCACATAACAAATCTAAAGCATAAATTGAGCAGTAAATGGGGGACGAGGGTGTAATACTCAAAACGACCGGTCGGGTCGTTACATTAAGGTAATTGAGAATAAAGTTTGTTCAAGTTTGAAACACATATTTTACATTATAGTTAGTATATCACATTTTTAATCCAGCGAACCAAACATCTACAAATAAAAGTATATCCACCAAATAATTCTGTCATTTATTAAATCCCATATTATAATTCCTATATTATAAATTTATAATCATGGTGTAATTTGTTTACAAACCAAACGATTCCGAAGGGAAAAGGCACGAGAACTCTTAACTTATCATGTATTATTAGTTTCACACTTAAGAGTCGTTTGTTTTGGAAGTTAGATATAGATAGATAATAATATAGGAATTATAATGCAATGATTATTAATGTAAAAATTAAAATGTAGGAATTAATGATTGCAGAGATTATTGATTATTAGACCATTCACTTGTTGTATAAACTAATACAATCTATAATTTAAAATAGTTATTCATTCTTAAAAAAATAAAATATTGCTTACTACATGAAGGTCATTTAGTAATTCTATTCCATGTATTATAACACCCATATCCTTATTCCTTATTATACCATACATGAAATAATAACTAGATTCTCGCATAACTTATTTATGTATTAGTTATACAGTAAAGAAAAACATAAACCAAATAAATTGTTTATGGTGATCGTTAATTAATTAAAAACAAAAAGACAATGCTATTTGGCGCCATTTCTCCATATATAAATACGAGTAATTTATTTTGGTGATTTAAAGGGTAAGACAAATTAAAGACAGAA